TTATACATAATGTTCAAAACAACAATGATGAAAGATGCACTTGAGCCCCCAAATAGAATTGGATTTGTTCTACCAGTCCAACTATATATGTAATTTCTCACTATCTATAACTGTTAATTCAGAAGATGAGTTACTAAGTAAAAACAAAAAAACTAAAACCACACCTGTTTAATAATGAAAATCTAATTGTATTCTCCTATTTAGTTTCCAAAATATTTGCCCCAAAGAAATATCTAGAAGAGTGTATGTATAACTTTTTTTTAGTCACATTTCCCTATTAAAGCTCCATGGGAGGCAAAGCAATTATGCAAGTGACTCTATTTGGAACTCAGGAGATATGCCCTAGAAAAACAAACTCAGCAGAAGAGAAATTTCTTTCCTTTTGTAGAATGTTACTTCATATACATATGTATATATACATATATATGTATATACACACATATATCTATGTATATATGTATATGTATGTATGTATATGTATATACACACATATATCTATGTATATATGTATATGTATGTATGTATGTATATGTATATACACACATATATCTATGTATATATGTATATGTATGTATATGTATATATATATGAATACCCGGTCTATCCAATGAGAGATTCAGGAACATCTGACTTGTCAGGTGCTGCCTTCCCTCTGTCCTCATTTGACTCAATTCACCCACTCCCACAGCAGGGTCTCAGGCAAAATCCAAGTGAGAAAAGGTAGTTTTTAACAAGCCTTCCTTTCCTCTTTACAACTGTCTTCTGTCCCAGTGATTCTTCTGTAGCTTCATTTAAACTAATGGGAATCATTTTCATCACATTGGTTTTGGTATTTGTCTGAGAAGAATTTAGACTCCAAACAAATGTCACATTAAAAATGAAACCTCAGTGGGGCACCTGTAGCTCTCCTGTAATTCTAGCTACTCTGGACACTGAGAGCTGAGGAGAGTTGTTTGAAGCTATTCTGGCAGAAAAATTTGTGAAACTCTCATCTTCAATTAATCACCAAAAAGCCAAAAGTAGAGCTATGGTTCAAGTGGTAGAATGCTAGCTGTGAAGGAAAAAGCTCAAGGACAGTGCCCAGGCACTGAATTCAAGCCCAAAACCAACACACAAACACACACACACACACACACACAGAACAAATAGCCTGGTGCCAGTGGCTCACACCTATAATACTAGCTACTTAGGAGGTTGAGATCAGAAGATCTTGGTTCAAAGTCAACCCAGGGAGCAAAGTCCATGAAACTCTTATTTCCAATTAACCACCCAAAAGCAGGAAGTAGAGCTGTGACTGAAGTGACAGAGCACGACCCTTGAGCAAAATAATTCAGGGACAGTACCTAGGCCATGAGTTCAAGAACTAGGATCATTTATCCAGCTTTTCTTTGATTTGTTGTGTTTCTGGATCTTTACTTAGGAAGTTTCAGCCAGTGCCAAGGAGCCCTAGTGTTTTACCTATCCCTTCCTACAATATTTTCAGGGTATCTGCTCTTACATTGAAGTTTATGATCCATTTTGAATTGATTCTATTGCAGGGTGATGTATAAAAATCTAACTTCAGTTTTTTGCCTGTGTATAGCCAATTCTGCCAGCATCATTTGTTGAAGAGGCTGTCTTTCTTCTGTGTATTTGGCTCCCTTATCAAAGATTAGGTGGCTATAGGTCTGTGGGTTCATTTCTGGGTCTTCAGTTGTAAGCCAAATCCAAAGAAACATAGGCTACATGGTTTTCCTCATTTGTAATAACTAGAATGTGTCTAGGATATTCTTAGCAGAGGAGCAGCACAATAGCTTAATAATTATGATGCTTATGAAATGATGCTTATTGAAATGAACTCCAAGAAATGGAAACAAGAGGATTTTTTAGTGTACTGTTGGCAGTTATTTCTTTTTTCTTTCTTTTTCCCCCCTTTGGTTTCTTCCTTGTTTTTGCTGTTTTTTATTTCTGTACCCTTTGTTTTGTATATAAGTTTATCTGATTTGCGGAAGAGACGGGGAATCACAGAAATCATGGGACAAAAGGTAAACCAATTCAACAGTGATACTCACAAGACTTGGTTGGAAATGAACTTTACAACTGCCCGGGAAGGAGGGGGGAGCAGGACTGGGGTGGGAGTGGAAGAAAATGAGGGAGGGTGCAGCACTGCTCAAAAAGAAATGTACTCATTGCCTTACTCATGTAACCCCTCTGTACAATATCGTTACTCATTACCTTACTTATGTAACTGTAACTGTAATTGTAAAGGTATATCTTTACAAAAAAAATTTTCAAAAAAAGTAACTAGGGTCAGCACCAGAAAAAAAAAAGAAAAATGAACCAATAACCAGGTTCATGTTTTATGAATGTTTTCTTTTCTTCAGCTTCTTAAAGCATCAAAGCAGCTAAATATAAATTTAAGTATCACAGTACACACTGCCTCCTGCAGAGAAAGTGTTGTGTACATCTATAGCTTCTTCTGTCATTCATCAGCTAAATAATGTGCCTCAACGTTCACCACAATGTCTTCTGGTCTAAGCTGGCGTCAGTTTCCCAGCCGTTAAAACCCATTAAGCATAGCAGCAAGCCCAAGTACATGTAACTGTATTTACAAAGATTGCCTTTCCCAATTTCTATAATTAAAGAAAGAATTCATAAGCAACCAATTGACGAATGGCTCGTCGATTAATTTAATGATAGGAAGTAACAAGAATATATACATATATCTTTAGTTTTCTAGGAGGGAGACATGAGATTGTATTTTCTCGGTTGTACACAAGTTCTGAGAATTTACCTATCCTGTTGCTTCTTTGTGAAGATCAAATAGTGTTTATAAAATGCCTGATAAATAAAGGTCACTTAATGATTAGCAGCCATTCTTACTACCCTACCAATATTTCCATTTAGAGATTAACTTCACACTTGGGGTAGAGAATAGAGTTAGTTTGCAGTGAGTTACAAAAGCAAGGATGGAGTTTAGAAGCAAAGTTAATAATTATTACTAAACTAAGTGAAATAATGAGTAATCAAACCACATCAAACCATAGTAACAACAGTTTGTTAGTGACAAAATTCTCAGTGAAACTTGTCAAATTATTAGACAAAAGAAATATGAAAGATATGCTTCAGGCTAGAATGGGTCCAGTTTGAGTGACTGTTTATCAGTCCAATGGACATAAGCCACATATAAGGTACAAAATGTAAAAAAAGAAAAAAAGTTAACATGTTTTAAAACATGGTGCAGCTTTTTTGGCTGACTTTATAAATCAAAATACGAAGGTAACAAAGGTGAACTTATATTTTGCGTGCTTAATGAAAGATCCTTCATGTTAAATATACTAGGTTACCTTAAAATTATTTTTGTCATCAGATACTATTGTTATAGGAGAATATTTTCTATGTATTTATAGGGCAATGGACAATGTAAATATAAAGAGTTTCTGAAGTGAGCAGAAGCTATTTTCTGTATTTTATTTTTCTTCACTTCGTATTAAAGTGGCTTAATAATAGTTATCTCCTGTTAAGTACCATCCTGGTCCCTGGTAACTCAAAAGCCCCTCAGAAATTTAAAAAAAATCTCATACTCGTTACCTTACTTATGTAACTGTAATCCCCCGTTCATCACCTTTACAATAAAATTAAATAATTCTCATTATCTACCCTTTATATCAAGTTATATCTACTCTTGTGTTCTTTGTCATTCTTGTTATAGCAAATAGCACTGTTACCTATAGTTACTCAATTTTGAAAGCTAGAAATTTAGTTACCTCTCCTGACTATCCCTTTCTCTCCTTCTTAAATGCAACTTACCATTGAGCACTGTTCAGTTTAGTTTCTAATTCCTCTCTCTAGCTCTCTTTGTCCCCTGCTATACATTTGAACTAACCTTTCCCCTCCCCTTGTCTAGCCCACTGTAATAGCCTCCTCACTGGTCTAATGGCAGAACCCCTCTTTTCCCAACATGGCCTTCCTCACCCCAAGACTATGCTTCCACCCTGGCATGAACTAGCCTGTGTTATCTTACCACCCTAGCCTTGAGCTTAAAACTCCTAATGACTTTGATTACCTTTTCCATGATGAAGAAGGAAAAGTATAGATAACTGGTGGCTCACACTTGTAATCATGGCTTATCATGAAGCTGAGGCCTAAGATATGAGGATCACAGCTCCAAGCCAGTTTGGGCAGGAAAATACACAAAAGTCTTATCTTCACTTAAGAAAAAAAGACAGAAGTCAAGCTATGGTGCCAGTGGTAGAGCACCAGCTGTAAGCATAAAAGCCAAGTGTGTGTGATGCCCTGAGTTCAAGCTCCTATTCTGGCAGAAAAAAGAAAAAGAAAATAAACACACACACACAGATCTTGGGGAAAGTCTTTTAAAATGTGGTTTAGAAAGCTCCCTTCCTGCTTTATCTTGCATTACTCTTTTTGTCTCTGAAACAAACCAGCTTTGGTACGTCCTCTGCTCCCTGCTGTCTTGAGACAGCTCTGGATTTCCTCAGGCCTCTGCGTGGTCATCGCTTTAGGTTTTACCTCCCTCCCTCAGAGATACTCCTTAAACTCCTAGTCAACATCAACTTCCGGCTTTACATTTTCCTAATGCTAAGCCCCGAATGAACTTTCATTTTTATTTTGACATTTTGGCTAATATTTTCCTTTCCTAGTAATCTCTAAGTTTCTGTAGAAAGAGAACCACATCTATTTTGAGTCACTCACTAGCTTCAGTTTAAACTCAGGTATTTGAGCTTATAATATTCAATAGTACATATTTGAGGGATGAGTGTAGAAATGATGTCAGGAGACATCATTTGTCCTTGAGAATGTCCTTGAGAACATTACACTCTTTTGCTTTGCAGAAAAGAAAGAGGGGAGGAGGTGGGAGGAGACAGAGGAGGAGAAGAAGGAAGAAGTGTAAGCTCATCATGTCAAATGCACTTTGATTTGTGGCTAGAAGATGACAATGGTCAACTCAAACTAGTCTAAGGCTAGGGGATTTTGCAAGGAAACAAACGCACAACCTTTACCTTTAGTTTTAAGGAATTCAGCTTCTCCTCCCTGAGGTGCTCCCTCAGCATGTCCCGATGCAGCCGTTCCTGCTCCCTGGCGAACTCGCCCAGCGTGTACTGGCGGACGCTGTTGTGGCGGCTGGACATGCCCAGGGTGCTGCCCCCCTGGCTGGGCACGCTGGTGAAGCCTTGCCTCCTGGTGAAGTAGTACACCGTGACACAACTGAAATGCACATTCTTGGTCCTCAGCCGCTTCTCCCTTTTGAGAATGGAGGAAGCTGAAAGAGAAAGAGCCAAATTCAGTGGACACCGAGGGCTACAAAATACACGTGAGCTTGCAGCCCTCGGCGATCAACCCTGCCCAGCCCTATGATGGAGTCTAAAACTATCAGATTACAAAGTTGGTTTTAAAAAAAAAAAAGACTTTTTAATTTCCCCTCCTATATTTTGTTCTAGTGGTGGCAGAGGACATTTCTTTAAGTGCTTCTGTCTAAACCAGTGTTCAGGAAAGCTGCCAATTGTTTTTGAGCCAGAATTTAGTCTCTCATTTCCCCTAATCCCCTAAATTTTGGTTTTATGATTTGTTTGTTTTTTACACAGGTGTACCATACTATAATCAGAAAGGACATAATACAAAACCCCAGATCTGGGAACTTCTTTCTGTCAACAGGATGCTTGGTAATAAAAACACTGACTAGTTATCAAAAGTAAGAGTTTCACAGGAAGATTAAGTTCTAATGTCCTACTGCACAGTGGAATGAACAGTGTACAATAATTGATTATATATTTTACAGAGCACCACTAGAAAAGAGATTTTTGGCTGGAAGTCTCCCAAGGCAAAGAAATGATAAGTGCTTAAGATATTGGAAATGCTAATTATCATGATCTTATAATTACAACATTGTATCCACATATGTACTAAATTATCACACTGTTCCTATAAATATGTACAATTATTACATGTCAGTAGAAATATATTTCCTACACTGGGCGCTGGTGGCTCACGCCTGTAATCCTAGCTACTCAGGAGGCTGAGATCTGAGGATCGCGGTTCAAAGCCAGCCCGGGCAGGAAAGACCGTGAGACTCCTATCTCCAATAAACCACCAGAAAACCGGAAGTGGCGCTGTAGCTCAAGTGGTAGAGCGCTCGCCTTGAGCTGAAGAGCTGAGGGACAAGAGCCCAGGCCCAGAGTTCAAGTCCCACGACCGACAAAAAAAAAAAAAAAGAAATATATTTCCTATAATATTGGAAAAAAAAGAAAAGATCTCCTAAATACATGGAAATATCTTGTTGATACTACTTAGATGTTTAGCAACCTAAGTCTGACAAAATTCTCATTGATTAAAAAAATAGTAATATCCTAGTAGGATTCTAATCCAATTGTTAAGACACTTGAAAATGCCAAGCAATATTTTAGCACTTTTCTTTTTATCACTCATTTCAAAATTAATTACACTTTGTATATATTTATGTATAAAGTAATGATGTATTAATATATACATACACATTAAGAATCATTAAATCAATTTAATTAACATGTCTATTACCTTACCTTTTTGTGTGGTGATGGTCAGAACCTTTAATATTAGATATAGGGATAGCGAAAAAAGAGAGCATCAAGGAGAGTTGGCGTACATACTAGGGTAGAGAGAAAAGAGCTAAAAATGATCAGCATGAGCTTTTGAAGCTGGAAGACACGGTAGACATCATCTGCTCTGATCCTTTTATTTCATAGTGAAGCAATCCAGCTTTAGGGACTCTCAGTGATTTCTTTTTATATAGTTTGTTGCAGCGTTAAACCCAAAAGCTCTAAATCTGGTTCCCTACAGTGGACATCTTTCCACTGTGACAGAAAGGACACAAAGAGAAAGAAATAGAATCATGCTACTATGGATTGAATTTTTATTGCCTTCAGTCCTGAGATATGTTGGAGCCCAAGCCCTCAGTACCCTAAGATGCAGTCTCCTTAGAATATAGGGTCTTTACAAATGTAGGTATGTTAGGAGGAAGTCATTAAGGTGAAAACCAATCCAATATGATTGATAGCCTTAGGAAAAGATAAAAGTTGGATACAGATGTGGAAAGGTGGAAGATAATAGGAAAAGATAGAAAAGATGATACCATGTGACGAGATAAAGATTATTGCTAGGACTATCAAAAAGTAAAATATTCAAGAAAAAGCCCATTCTACAGTTATATTTTTAATTTTTTTCAGGTTCTGGGGCTTGAACTCAGGGCCGGGGCACTGTCCCTGAGCCTCTTTGTGCTCAAGGCTAGCAATCTACCACTTGAGCCACAGCACCACTTCTAGCTTTTTCTTTCTTTTTTTTGGTCAGTCATGGGGCCTGAACTCTGGGTCTGGGTGCTGTCCCTCAGCTCTTCAGCTCAAGGCTAGCGCTCTACCACTTGAGCCACAGCATCACTTCTGGCTTTTTCTGCTTATGTGGTGCTGAAGAATCGAACCCAGGGCTTTATGCCTGCAAGACAAGCATTCTACCACTAAGCCACCTTCTCAGCCCCCACTTCTGGCTTTTTCTGAGTAGTTTATTGGAGATAAAAGTCTCACAGACATTCCTGCCTGGGCTAGCATTGAACCATGATCCTTAGATCTCAGTCTCCTGAGTAGTTAGGACTACAGGCATGAGCCACTGCTACCTGGCTTTCTGCAGGTTTTAAAAGGGAACATAGGTCACATCTTTATTTGGAGATAGATGGAGGTGGAATGGAGAATCTCTTTTCTAGGAGATTAAGCTTTTGACTGCCATGCCAGAGTGAGGAGCTGAAGCTACAATAAGGTGGAGACTTGGTATCATAATATTTCTGATAGACCATGACTTGCTGCTGGCTAGCTTCAAGAGAATTTTGTTTGGAAAGCTGGGTGAACAATAAATGTACAAGAACTCTAATATCACTTAGGATGTACATATGAATATTCTTCCAAGGGGGTGCAAGTATCTTTGTCCCATTTTTCCACTGTAGACCTTTAAATATGGAGAAATCGCTGCAATCAATCTCATTTGGGGGGTTTATTTAGTCAGTAAATATAAATTTGGGACCTACTATGTGTCAAACAGATTCTAAATCTTTGGGATACATAAGTGGGGGGAAAAATGAATGATGATACTTCCTTAGGTAGAATTCCCATTCCAGGAATGAGACAGAAAGCGCACACTCCAGGATGGAAAAGTAAGAGAATTACGATTTAGCTTACCTTACTTTGCCTCTTTTCTACTATTTTACTGCCCCAGAAGATAGAGAGCAAATGCATTTCGAGGTGTGCATAACTTATCCACACACTCACTGAAGTTTTCAACATTGATTTAGAAGCTCTGACCTGCTTCATAACTATATGCTTAAATCATCTCAAAACAAAGAATTTGTCAAATGTAAAAGATCAGCATAGGACACAAAATTTCACAGTCTTTCTACTAATCTGCCCATCAGATCTGACAACCTGATCTGTCACCATTCTATAGCAATTGAAGTAGAGAATCTGATGTTGACATGATGACCTCTCTTGATGACCTTTCATCTTTCTTTGTTCCTTATATCATAAAAGGGTGCCCTTAAATGTTCCTTTCAAAGCCGTAACCCTGCAGACAGGGTTACAGGTTTTAATATACTCACTTAAAAAAAGTATTACAATTTATGATAATTTTGTTGCTTATTATTTAGAACACTAATGGCACCCTAGACAAGTTAATTTTTCAATAATGTATTTAGGCCTATAGCTTTGTTTTTTTTAACATCGTAAGTTTTGTGGTTTCTCTCTCTTTTTGTTAACCCTTTAGTATGTATCTACTACAATACCTTTTCTTGAAAAGCCAAATTACCCTCTTTCCTCAGAAGTCAGAATGTAGAGATGATTTTCTGAGATGATTTTTTGACAATAGCGGAAGTCCTTAGGCTATGTCCTTTGCAGACTAAAGTGTACAAGGAAATTGAAGTTATAAACTGTATCAGTAGGGCTTATAAACCTGTGCTTATGTGTTATTTAATTTGCATATTATAAATCACATTGTAAAGACAATTATCCACAGACTATGAATGAAAGGCTTTCAAGTACTCTAAGATCATCCTAATGAAATTTATTTTACATGTGGCTTTCTAGTATTTAGGAGCCACCCACAGCTTTCTTCTGATGATTGAATCAGAGCAAGGCCAAAATGAGCTGTCTTCTGCCTCTAGGCTCCACTTTGACTAGCATCACAAATGAAGTCATAAAAGGAGTTCTTTCTTCAAGCCTGAGACAAAGTGAATATATTCACTCACCACATTAGCCTTAGGGAGTCTGAAACCTCTCTGGTTTACCTATGTGCCTTTTGCAGAATGGATAAACAGTACTTCCTGACTCTAGAGTTCAAGGTTAGCTTTGCTACTGTGAGGTCAAGAGCAAGAAAAAGGAAGATAATGTGGCTTACGGCTTCAAAAAATAGTCAATTTTCATATTCTATACCAATTTTAAGTATCCTCAGCTACTTTCCTTTCATCCAAGTCACAATGACTATCCTGAAGCAAAAGTTTCTAAATGCGACAGTCTTACGCTATATTCTAAATGTGACAGTCTTATATTCTTCTTAAGATACAGCTCTCAGGACAGCATACCAGGCCACGTGCATGTCACTATAAAAAATCGTCTATCTAATACAGGCAAAATTATTTTTGCAAATTAAATGAATATCAGCACTGACTGGTATTAGCTATATTTCAGAGTTCTCCACCTTAAAAACAGTAATTTAAAAGTGAGTAAAAATGAGCTGGATACTGGTGGCTCATGCCAGTAATCCTAACTACTCAGGAGACTGCGTTCTGAGAATGGTGGTTCAAGCCAACCCAGGCAGGAAAGTCTGTGAGACTCTTATCTTCACTTCACTAGCAAAAACCCAGAAGTACAGCTGTGGCTTAAGTGGTAGATCTCTAGCTTTAGGTGGAAACAGCTCAAGGGGAACACTCATGCACTAAATATAAGCCCCGGGTATCGGCAGCCCTTCCCCACAAAGAATGGAGAAGAGAACTGACTAATTCACATTTGCAAGGTAAAAATGTAGTAAGGTAAAATAATCTCATCACAAATTATAATTTATGAGAATGAATTTATATAAATAAGACAGTAATATATAAGGAATAATTCATTTTTAGAATCTATACTGTTGTTATTGTAAAAGTGATATACAGAGAGGTGACAGTTACATAAGTCAGGTAATGACTAAAGCGGATTAAAAAGGAAAACCAAAAACTAAGAAGTAAATGTTTCTAGAACCATCCAGAAAAGCAAG